CAGCTGACCGGACTCAGCTTGGCCCAGGAGGTCCAGCGTCAGCTGAACGGATCCGGCTTGGCCCAGGAGGTCCAGCGTCAGCTGACCGGACTCAGCTTGGCCCAGGAGGTCCAGCGCCAGCTGACCGGACCCGGCTTGGCCCAGGAGGTCCAGCGCCAGCTGACCGGGCGGCGTCAGTGGTGACGATTGTGGCATGGCCCTACTCGATGCTGGGGTCCATCACTAGGACTGGATGCCTGCTGACGGGGCGGGGTCAGTGATGACGATTGTGGCGCGTGCTCAGTCAGGTTTGATTTTCGACAGATGGACAGGGTGACTGATGACGGTTGTGTCCCGCTGCCCAGCACATCTGCTGTCTCGCCGATGTTCGGCGCACAGCACAGGTTATTAAGCAGCAGCTCTCTAGCTGTGTACATGGCCAGGTATTAAGCAGCTGCTCTCTAGCTGTGTGTATGGACAGTTATTAAGCAGCTCTCCAGCGTTGTATATAACCAGTTATTAAGCAGCAGCTCTCTAGCTGTGTATATGGTCAGTTATTAAGCAGCAGCTCTCTGGCTGTGTATGTGACCAGTTATTAAGCAGCAGCTCTCTAGCTGTGTATATGACCAGTTATTAAGCAGCAGCTCTCTAGCTGTGTACATGGCCTGCAGACACAACCCGATCAACTGTGTCTAGTTCCTCTGCCAGCAAAATTATGACGTTTCTGTGGTTCATGTGGCTGAAGTTTGGTGTTCTGTTCCTCATTGCGATATCGGGAGATGACTTCTGACGGGGATGCCCATGCATTAAGGGCGTCATCTGATTAAGGCAAAACGAAAACATCATGCTCTAACGAACTGATAGTGGGAAGGTTTTGCACTTTTATGTCAATAACACGATAATGATCAGATAAGACATGTCACTGGGATCGAGTGAAGACCGGCATGTGCATACCCGTAAAAATATCGCAACAAGCGGCTCATCGACTTAGAGAATGCTTGGCCCTTCACAGAATGATTTGCTTCGTTCATCGAAGTGCGTGACAGTCAGCTCTGAGGGTGTGACAGGTAGCTTCGGACTCGTAAGAGCCATGCTTTGTGCTGCTAAATCCCCAGGTTGACTGAACACACGCGGCTTGCTAAGCCGGTTTTTTTGTCCCGTTGTGCGGGAGCAATCGATTGATTCATGGCCCTGTCACAGTGACACGTACTCAACACAGGGCGAGAAAAGACACGACATATTTCATGTTCGGTATTCCCAGTCCATAATGACACAGTTAAAAAGAAAAAGTATGTTCCTCGCTTGTCACACATGCCGTCACAGATAACGGACGCTTCAGTACGGAACCCCTGATTCACATGTTTGGTATGCGTTACATGCCGTCGTGACATATGGCGTGAAATATTGGCTGAAGCCAGTCTTCATCACACATCAAGACGTCTGGGCTGGCCTTACACGGATCACCAATCTGCATGCTAACTGGCCTGTGCTCTGTCGCCCACAGATGGCGTCGTTCACGCGGCAGCTGCTGGCCCTGCTGGTCACGTGCTGGCCGCTGACTGGACTGGGTCGGCAGTACCGGCCGCGGCCCGACATGGAGTCCTACTCGGTGCTGGACCTCATTGAGAGCAAGAGCTCCAGGTAGGAGCTGGGTGCTGGCTGATAACGCCCCGCACAACTCCGTGGCTGATCCCGCCCCGCGCTCCCCGGTGGCTGATCACGCCCCGCACTCCCCCGTGGCTGATCACGCCCCGCACTCCCCCGTGGCTGATCACGTCCCGCACTCCCCGGTGGCTGATCACGCCCCGCACTCCCCCGTGGCTGATCACGCCCCGCTCTCCCCCGTGGCTGACCACGCCTCGCGCTCCTCCGTGACTGATCACGCCTCGCACTCCCCCGTGGCTGATCACACCCCGCACTCCCCCGTGGCTGATCTCACCCCGCACTCCCCGGTGGCTGATCACGCCCCGCACTCCCCCGTGGCTGATCACGCCCCGCACTCCCCCGTGGCTGACCACGCCTCGCACTCCCCCGTGGCTGATCACACCCCGCACTCCCCCGTGGCTGATCTCACCCCGCACTCCCCCGTGGCTGATCACGCCTCGCACTCCCCCGTGGCTGATCACACCCCGCACTCCCCCGTGGCTTATCATGCCCCGCACTCTCCCGTGGCTGATCACGCCCCGCACTCCTCCGTGGCTGATCACGCGCCGCACTCCCCCGTGGCTGATCACGCGCCGCACTCCCCGGTGGCTGATCACGCCCCGCACTCCCCCGTGGCTGATCACGCCCCGCACTCCCCCCCCCGTGGCTGATCACGCGCCGCACTCCCCGTGGCTGATCACGCCCCGCACTCCCCCGTGGCTGATCATGCCCCGCACTCCTCCGTGGCTGATCACGCCCCGCACTCCCCCGTGGCTGATCACGCCCCGCACTCCCCCGTGGCTGATCACGCGCCGCACTCCCCCGTGGCTGATCACGCCCCGCACTCCCCCGTGGCTGATCATGCCCCGCACTCCCCCGTGGCTGATCACGCCCCGCACTCCCCCGTGGCTGATCACGCCCCGCACTCCCCCGTGAGACGGCTCATCATTACTTCCCTCTGACGGAGACGCGAGGACATACTAAAGGCTAGCAGAGCTCTGAAGTGCAATTAGAATTCGCGTTTTGCTGTGGGATGTGACAGATCTAGTGAGAAAAAGCTCCCAGAGTTGGAGGAGCAGTCGCCAGGTGTTCTCAAGGATGGGGACACTGCTGACAACACTGCGTCCCGTTCCCGCTCTTTGTCTCTTTGAAACACTCATCTTGATTGCACGCGACGTTCGTGCAACGTTATTGTCATATATATCAACATTCGTTGTTCGTCGCCAGTTCGTGAAGTCATATATAGACTCCTTTTCCTTCAGTTTTGTCTCGTCGCACGTTAGTGGGTGTGCGTCAAGCGTCACTGACCTGTAACTCGTGATCAAGTCCCAAGGTCATTTATATGCCATCTTTGACCTTGACTCTATGTCAGTGGTTTGTAAATCGGGATTGCTGGCTACGAGTCTATGCTGTGAACTTGCAGCTTATGCCCTTGAACCGGCTCTACTGAGTTGAAAACCGCAACGTTGCCCTCACGCTCTATCCTTTCAGAGACGTATCCTCGGTACCCTTGTGTTTGGCTTCCAAACTGCTGGAAGGCGCGTTGTGCGATGCTGTTAACCGGTAGTTAACTTTGCAATATGAACGGAGATCATGTCTAACTTAAGGGCTGCGGCCATTTAGACGCATTTGTCTGTTCCGTTTAAAAGGCTGAATATACCCAAAATATTTGCGAAAACAGCATCTAGTAAAATGGCTCCGGCTCATTGGAACCAGAGGTCATTTAGGATGTACCAAAGATCAACAATACTGGTTATGACATAACGTTATGGTCATAGGCAGCATGTAAACCTTTTTGGAGCGACGTCACCAGCTGAAGATCAGTTCCGCTTGTCAATGGCTCACTCACTGGCACGGAGCCAAAGCTGGAAGTGGTCATCGCCGACGCTTCCGATAACGTTGAGCTAAATTCTGTGCCCTTGAGTCGATCCGGTCGATTTCAACTCATGACCCTGCGCTTGACCCGCCGGCGGTCCCTTTCAAATGCGACCTTGACGCCATGCCCTCGACGTGTCAGGTACGACCCGTCTCCGTCGGACTTGGACATCGGGAGGTTGACGATGAAGCTGGGGCGCTTCCTGGACAGCGAGTACATGAGCATCGACATGCCGAACAGCCTGCGCCGAGGCGTCAACGTCACTTGGCAACTTCCCTTCAAGGTAAGCCAGGGGCGCGCCAGCAGGGGTGATGGAGCTCAGGTCAAAGCCACTGGGGACGGGGAATGACGGAGAGGACCGAGGATGGTGCGGCTAGCTGTTGTCGGAGGCGCGGACCGATGACTGGCTGCAACTTGTTTGACTGTCCGGGGAAGGTCGTACTTTGGCTTAAGTCTCCGGCACCTCGTGGATGACACGGACTGGCACTGGCCGACGTTTTCGCAGAAACGCACGGATGTGTGCAGTGTATATACGTGTTCTTTATTCAAACGAGAGCTGGCACTGCCATTACACTAGTTGGGGCCTAGATAAGAGTTGCGAGAACTGGAGATGTGTGCTGTAGATAAACAGTCCCACTTGGTTTGGACGTTCTGATAAGTTGTCTGCATTGATGGTAACCTGAATGTGATATCCATGTCATAGGTCATGTGTCATAAACAATCAGCTGACCGCGTCCGGTAATCTGAGAGCCCAGCCCCTCGCGCGTAGGCGCAACACGCATAAACTGTCAGCACTTCACGCGAAGGAGAAGCCTCCGGCGCCAGCCGCTGCGACATGCGAGCAGGCGGCTCAGTCCTAACAGCGCCGGCCGCTGCGACATGCGAGCTGGCGGCTCAGTCCTAACAGCGCCGGCCGCTGCGACATGCGAGCAGGCGGCTCAGTCCTAACAGCGCCAGCCGCTGCGACATGCGAACGGGCGGCTCAGTCCTAACAGCGCCAACCGCTGCGACATGCGAACGGGCGGCTCAGTCCTAACAGCGCCAGCCGCTGCGACATGCGAGCAGGCGGCTCAGTGCTAACAGCGCCAGCCGCTGTGACATGCGAGCAGGCGGCCCAGTGCTAACAGCGCCAGCCGCCGCGACATGCGAACAGGCGGCTCAGTCCTAACAGCGCCAGCCGCTGTGACATGCGAGCAGGCGGCTCAGTCCTAACAGCGCCAGCCGCTGCGACATGCGAGCAGGCGGTCCCGTCCTAACAGCGTCAGCTGCTGCGACATGCGAGCAGGCGGCTCAGTCCTAACAGCGCCGGCCACTGCGACATGCGAACGGGTGGCTCAGTCCTAACAGCGTCAGCCGCTGCGACATGCGAGCAGGCGGCTCAGTCCTAACAGCGCCGGCCGCTGCGACATGCGAACGGGCGGCTCAGTCCTAACAGCGTCAGCAGCTGCGACATGCGAGCAGGCGGCCCAGTCCTAACAGCGCCGGTCGCTGCGACATGCGAACGGGTGGCTCAGTCCTAACAGCGCCAGCCGCTGCGACATGCGAGCAGGCGGCTCAGTCCTAACAGCGCCAGCCGCTGCGACATGCGAGCAGGCGGCTCAGTCCTAACAGCGCCAGCCGCCGCGACATGCGAGCAGGCGGCTCAGTCCTAACAGCGCTCCCGTCGGCAGGTGAAGAAGAACGGCCACCTGCGCACCGTCGGCCGGATTCCGGCAAGCCTGCGCCGGCTGCGGCTGGACCAGCTGACCCTGCCGGATGGCTCGCGGCAGCCGGTGCGCCTCACGCGCCGCCTCCGCCGCAAGATGCTCAAGTACCTGCACATGTACACGCACTGCGCCGTGCGTTACCGCTGGAAGGATCTGGGCGTGCGCTTCTGGCCGCGCTGGCTGCGGACGGGCCACTGCGACACCACGCGCTCGTGCTCGATCCCTGCAGGGATGACGTGTCAGCCGGCGCGCAGCCGGCACCTGACCCTGCTGCGCTGGCACTGCCAGGACTGGAGGCGCAGCCGGCACTGCAAGTGGCTGCGCGTCCAGTACCCGGTCGTCAGCAAGTGCCAATGCTCCTGCCCGCGCCGGTAGGCGGCGCCGCCGGCGCGGGGCGTGCTGAGGGCACACTTCGCATGAGGGCTGTCGGAAGGGAAACTGGAATGTTCTCAGCAGGTTCTCTGTGTGGAACGTTCTCGGCTGCGCACTGGCCCCGGGCTCTGAGAGGGCGGTGCTGACCATGTGGCACGAGGGAGGAAGTGCTGAAGTCTAGTCATGTGGCGAGGCCGCCGCTTTATGCCTGCAGTGGAGAACGCTCGCGATCCGAACGTTGAAGAGCTGCGTAGCGCTAAAACGACGCAGGGCGTGGGAGGGCCGCCTTCGTAGGCTCACTGTCTCTCTGAGCCGGCGGCGCTCCTGGAAACTGCGACGCTCGTATTTATTGCCGTGACAGTGTCTCTTGAAGGCTACACAACCTGATATTTATTGGAGGCAATACCAACGTGAAAGCGATCTGATGATGTAACGACGATCCGACGAACAAGGTCTGGCTCACTGTCTCTCTGCATCACGACCGGAGGCGAAGATCGCCAGCGACGGCAGCTGAACAGTGGCAGGTCTTGGCGTCTGGCTCTCTGTCTCTCTGCATCACGACCGGAGGCGAAGATCGCCAGCGACGGCAGCTGAACAGTGGCAGGTCTTGGCATGTGCGCACCAGAACCCTACTTGTCTCTGCCGCATCCTAGAGGGACCTGACGAAGCCAGGTGCTGCGCTCGCGGTCTGCTCCTGGTCCCACAGGTCTTCCCACGGGCTGCCTCGCCTCGTACTGGTGACCTGCGCCGGCGAGCCACGCCTCGGGGACGCTCCGCCCGCGCGCGAGCCTGCAGGCCTGTCTCACAATCAGAGGGACTCGCGGTGCGCACGGCGGCAACGAGTCTCGTCGCGGATCAACTCCGCCTCCGGACGTGGGGCGAGCGTGACCTGCGAGGGGCCTGACCTATGACCGGCGAGCGTGACCTGCGTGACCTGCGTGACCTGCGAGGGGAGTAGCCTCGCCGCCCCAGGCTCTGTCTGACTGTGATCAGGTGACGTCGGTGACCCTGTCTGCGTGAGCGCCACCTAGTGTCAGGTCCTGATGTGGATTATGGGTGAGGCTTTGTGTTTGCACTTGTTTGCTGCCGCTCGAACAACGGGACGCCCGCCAGCAGCGCGCGACCAGAGCTTTTCAAGGTGGCCTTTGATGTCCTTCAGGCCGTTTAGTCTCGCTGAGGCAGACCTGTTTCTTACTTGGTCGTCCTTTAAGGATGTTGTGTTTAATGTGTTCGTTATGACCACAGTGTAATTGTATTTGCTAACGATGAGCCTAGACAGTGCAACAAACGGGATATGTTTGGCAGCGAGTTGTTTGATTTTACACATTTTGCCTTCGTTTACTTCAAATAAGGAAAGCAGTGTTCGGATCTCTTGCGATTTTGGATTTACTTTTAAATGTACCCATGTCAGCTCTTTGTCACGAGTAGTGGCACATTCCAGCCGAACATTTATTGTGATGCGACGATTCCATTTCTGTTTGTTCATGTCACATTCATGCATGATGTCTTGTACGCTATTAAAATGAGCCAAAATACCTCCGATGCTCATTTCTCGCTGCATAGCCTATCAGCAGCTGACCATCGAGCGTCAACTTGCTCCGCGTCGCCGTTCCGTGCAAGACGCATTGAGAACCCAAAAGCGCCGTGTGGGTTACAGTGAGAAGCCCAAGGCGGTCAGACCAGTTTGTCACAGGGCTGCTGCTCACACGGGCCCGCACGCGACGGGCTGCGTGACGTCAGCGGAACGCGTCCACGTGTCGTTCATCTGGGCGCTCCGCTACCTCGGCTCAGAAAACTGCTTAAGTTTGCTGCTCTTTCGCCGAGCTACGCAATACACCATGCTGTTTGGAATGCAGAAAAATATCGAGATCAAATCCGGAACAAAGTACCATAAATGATCGTCTGCGCATGCGCTCAACTCACACCTTGGGGTCGCAAAAAAGTTGGAAATTCTTCTCTTGTGGTCAAACAAACTTTTTAATCAAGCCATAACTTTATGCGCAATTTGAGGATTTCAAGCCAACTAATTGTTCTATGTGCTGCGTCCTATGTTAAGAGGTGCAAACCAAGGCATGTGAGATTCGAAAGTAAATTCTCCGTGAACTCGCGCGGGTGGGCTCATGCCCGCCTGAGAGCACGCAGTGAAATAGGAGAACAGTCTGATTGGCAGCTTGCAAGACCATGTGACGCCCCATGGCGCGCATACGAAGAGATTTGCGATTGAACTGTAAAGCATTCTCGCCTCACGTGGATAGTTACAATGCTGGGATATCTTGGCCTTGGCACTCGGCTGGTCGCGTTACCTGCAGCGGTAGCTCTAGATCGTGTCCGATCGCCCTGTCGTCATTGGGCCTAACTACAGTTTCATCTCACAGCCGCCAGAGCCGCCCTCCAGGTTGCATAATTCTAGCGCACTTAGTCACATTCTGTGCACTGTTGAGCAATCACTAGCACTTGAAACATTTTCGTTTGACATACGGCTTCACTAAACCCTATTCGGGTGCGTTAATAGCTTTGGAAGTCCCCAGTGAGCTAACACTCAGCAGCGCAGCCGAATGATCCGGCTCCTCCTCCACGTCCTCCTGCCAGGTTTCTCGGCGCAATGTTACCACTGCTGTCGCTCCGGACAGATGCGAGCCATTCAAGCGCATTGCTGAGTGTACGTTACCGACGAGGAGTGTGGTCGTGAACATGCGAAGGCGTTTAAAGATTCTTATAATCGCACCCGGAGGGTGCGAGCATGTGCATTTGATAACACTGCAGGAAGGTGCATTTGATAACACTGCAGGAAGGTGCATTTGATAACACTGCAGGAAGGTGCATTTGATAACACTGCAGGAAGGTGCATTTGATAGCACTGCAGGAAGCTGGCGCAGGAACATATGTGTCGACTAACGTCAATTCACGGCAGTCAATTAAAGATCCCTTTTCGAGCGCAAATGAAGCAGCCGTGTGGCTGTGAAAGCATATGGGTAGGGGCTGTTAGCTCGCGCCGTAGTATCGTTGTCGACTCGCGCCGTAGCATCGTTGTCGGCTCGCGCCGTAGCACCGTTGTAGGCTCGCGCCGTAGCATCGTTGTCGGCTCGCGCTGTAGTATCGTTGGCGGGTCGCGCCGTAGTATCGTTGTCGATTCGCGCCGTAGCATAGTCGTCGGCTCGTGCCGTGGCACCGTTGTAGGCTCGCGCCGTAGCATCGTTGTTGCCTCGCGCCGTAGTATCGTTGTCGGACGACGCCATCCCGTTTATTGAGGTTGGCCGGTGCATTGCAGAGTGCGGGCAACCTGTGCGGAGCGCGGTGTCGAACATGCGGCAGCGTTTGAAAAAAAAGTTTGTAATCGCACGCAAAGAGCATGCCAGTGTGCATTCAGAGCACTTCGGAAGGCTATCAGCTGGCGCTGTGACATCACTATCGGCCCATGGCGTCCATTTCACTGGGTAGACCCCCTGTCAGCGCAACTGTCAGTGCAACTGACACCCAACAGTCAACTAAAAAATGCGTACTGACGCGCGCGAAGGATGTGGTGCTCGAAATGACTGACAAAGCAGGCATCACGCAGAATTAAGGATAAATTATCAAACATTGGAAGCTCACAGAGAGAGAGAGACAAAAGGAGAGAGAGAGAGAGAGAGAGAGAGAGAGAGAGAGAGAGAGAGAGAGAGAGAGAGAGAGCAGCGATAGAGAGAGAGAGAGAGAGAGAGAGAGAGAGAGAGAGAGAGAGAG